TGTTGTTATGAATGGCTTTGACAAGGAGACCTGTGGGAAGCACGGGGGAGGCCCTGGGGCCAGAATCTGGGAAGGGCTTGGGGGAGCTGGGTCAGCCCAGGGTCAGGAAGCCCTGGCAGGCTGGGCCTCCCTGTGGGCCGGGGAGGCAGGTGGACATGTGACTCAGGTCCCCATGTAGTAATTTGTGCTCAGTGGTTTTAACAGAGGTCTCTTATTTTTCCAGCAAGAACACCTGTGTCGCAGACTTTGGAAGATCTGGGCCTCTGAAAGCTGCATACGATCAGCTCGCTCGTCACCCATGCCGCTTGAGCAGGGCTGTTGGGGACAGAAGGGCAGCTGCCATGCTGCTGATGGGTCCCCGTCCCTGCTGGGCTCCCCCTCAGCTAGGGTCTTGTGAATCTTCCTGTTTCTCCATCCTGGAAGGCTGTGAGCCCTGAAGTGATATTGCCACCCCCAGACCTTATCTGCACACACAGAGACTTGGGCACACATGTAGGAACGCCACACATGTGTACACACGCAAGCCCACGAGTGGCACATGTGTGTGCAATGCAGAAACACAAGCTTTCATGTGTGTGCACATGTGGGCATATACACACATGCAGATACCTAAGCAGGCACAGATACATGAGAACACACCTGCTCATGCCCCTCATATGTGTGGAGGCAAAGGGGACCGGGGTGCAACTGAACAAAGCGCTTTCTTTGGCCTCGTCTCCATTCACTCATTCACGCCTCAGCTATTATTGAAGGTAGCTCGAGGCAGGCCCGGGCAGGACTCCGAGGACACAGCAGGACCAGGTGGACCTGCCCGTGGTGGGTGCGGCCCTGTTGGAGCCGGAGGTTTCTCCCTCTGTGCAGTCAGGTCCTTGGGGACAAGGAGCAGAATGGAGAGAGAAAGGAAAAATCAAGATTTAGACGGAGTCAGGGTGGGGTGGGGACTTGTGCCTGCTCCTGAGGCTGGCATGCGGTGTGGGTGAGAACCCTGCGGAGGGCACAGACCTGCCCATTCATGGCACCTACAGCAGAGTGAGCGATGGGTGACGTCACACAGGGACTTCGGGGGTCACACAAGGATTTAGGGTCGAGCCCAAAGTGGGGTGGGTCACAGGCGGGAAGCGTCCTGAGGCTACAGAGGCCTCCACCCAGGGAGCCCTGGGGGAGGGACAGGGAAGGAAGTGGCCAGACACCAGGCTGATGGCAGTGGCCTATGCCCTCACTTGGCCTGGCTGGAAGGTGAGCGCAGCGTGGCTCCTGGCGCTCCAAGGCTGTGATTTAGACAAGCCAATCTCTGGTGACATTTGGAGACTTCACATAAAAATGTCTCCTTTGACTTAAGAAACCCCTAGGCTCAAGCACCATGACAACCAGTGGCCGGACCTGAGTGGCCGAAGACCCCCCACTCCATCGGCTGGGCCCCACACTGCCCCCTACAGGGAGGTGCTGCAATTGAACACCAGATTTGTGATTCAAACTTTATCCATTTTCCACTAGTCTCCTTGTTCCCGTCCAGGAGCCAGTCGAGGGCACTGCACTACATTTCTTCACTGTGTGTCCTCCTCCGGCCAGTGGCAGTTTCTCCATCTGTCCTTCTTTATCAAGACCTTGACAGCTTTGAAAAGCAGCACACAGATACTTTGTATAAAGCCTTCAGTTTGGCCGGATATGGAGGCTCATGCCTGTAACTCCAGCACGGGGAGACTGAGGCAGGAGGATTACTGCAAATTCAAAGCCAGCCTGTGAGTTTAGTGAGTTGAGGACCAGCCTGAACTATATTGGAGACCTCGTCTCAAACACAGAAAAACAAAACACACCCCCACCCCCCACCCCCGCCCCAAAGTCTTCAGTTTAGTTTGTCTGATGTTTATCTCGTGATTAACCTGGTGTTGTGGGTTTTGGGGAAGATGAGTGAGGTCCCAGGCCCTCCTCATCTCACCAGAATTGGGGCGCGTGAATAGGTGTGTGTCTATATAGCTTCATCCTGTGTGTTAAACTTTTTAAGAAACTACCACACTCTTTTGCACAGTGGTTTTCCTGTTTCGCGTCTCCACAGACCCTCCGTGTCCTCGTCAGCACCTGGCTGTGTCAGGCTTCGCCGCCCTGGTGTCTGAGCTGAGCTTTTCCTAATGTCCAGCACCTTGCCGTGTGGGTATTGCTTCCCATACGTCCTCTTTGGTAAAGTTTCTGTTCAAACCTTTGGCCTGTTTATGGAATTTGACTGTTTTATCATCGAGTTACAAATATTCTTCCTACGTCCGAGATAGAAGGCTTTGGTCAGCAATCACACAACTATTTTCCCCAAGTTAGCGGCTGGCCGCCTTACTCTTGTGAAAATGTCTTCTGGGAAACAAGTTTTTATGGAGCCCACTATATAATTTTTCTTTTGTAGTTTTCAAGGACTGGGTGTTGAAAAAGGGTTTTGTGGGTGCAGGCAGAGGTTTTATTCCCTGAGCCACATTCCCAGTCCCTGGTTCTTTTCAAAATTGTGTTAGCTGTGACAGGGAGTTTTTGTTTTTGTTTACTTTTTTTTTTTTTTGCATTTTTAAAATCTAAATGGCTGGCTTCTTTTTTCCTTTGGTCTTTTGAGTCTCTCTCTCTCTCTTTTTTTTTTTTTTTTTGGTACCAGAGATCGAATTCAGGACCTCGTGTGAGCTAAATCCCTGGCCTTTTTTTGTCTTTTTGAGGAAGGGTCTTGCTGTATGGTTCAGGCTGGCCTTGGGCTCACGTTGTAGCCCAGGCTGGTCTTAAACTTGCTACGATCCTCCTGCTGCAGCCTCCTGAATAGAGGTTGGCATTCTGATTGGGATCTCTTTGACTGTAGATTAGATTGTGAAGAATCAGTGTGAGAATGTTGAGTTTCCCCATCCTTGAACATGGTACATCTCTCTAGATATTTAGACCTTCTTTAATGGTTTGCAGCAATATTCCGCAGTTTTAATTCAAGGGACTTGCCTTTCTCTTGTTGAATTCACCCTTACGTAGCAGCTCCTCTGCTATGCTGTTAAATGGAGTTACTAGTACCCAGAATTACAACGAATTTTTCTCTACTGACTTGAGTCCTGTAACTTTGCTAAACTCACTTATTAGCGCTAATGGATTGCCTAGGATTTTGTACCTAGACAGTGAAGCCATCTGCAAACAGAGGCGGTGCCTGCCTTCCTGTGCAATCTGCCTGCCTTTTATTCACATTTCTCGCCTTATTATACCGACTCGGTCCAAGGCTGAACAGGAGCGGTGAGCACAGACATCTTAGCCTCACTGCTGGCCTTGGTGGAAAACACTCGGGCTCCCCCCCCCCCCAAATTGTAGGTCCTCTGGTGGGCGCGGCAATCGCCCTTTACTCCTAATGGGGAAACAGTCTTTTCCATCAAGGAACGAAACGCGCAGTGCGGCCGTGCCATGCCCGCTCAGCTTAGGTTCTGGGAGCACAGCTGACCACCAAAGGTGACTTCTCAACAGCCAGGAGCTTCCAGTACCCACGCCCCCACGCTCCCCTCCCTTGGCAACCTGCCCAGCAGGGCCTCAGGTCCCCACCTGCCTCTTAAACTTGCCAATGGAGACATGCTGTGACCTTTCAAACCAGCCAATGGGGAAACGTCAGCTGCTTCTCCTGCGGGAGGGGTAAAATGACCCTGGCTCTTACGTCCTGGGTGCCAGCTGCCCAATGCGAGAGCCTGCTCGTGCCTTTCTGCAGAAGTAAAAAGCCTCCTTGAGATTTCTTGGTGTCTGAGTGCTTTATTATCTGCACTGACAAATTGAGTCTAGTTCGTTGAGTGTTTTCAGAATTGAGTTTTATATTATATTAAATGCTCTTTCTGCATCAATTGTTAATATTTTTAGTTTGTCAATAGTTTAGTTTTTTAACCTTTTCAAATTTTTTTTGGTTTTTGTTTTTGTCTTTTTCGTTTTTATTGGTACCAGGGATCAAACTCATGACTGCCTGCTTGCAAGGCAGGCGCTTATGCCGATGAGCTAAATCCCCAGCCCCTAGAGGGGTTTTTGTAATCTCTTTTTCTGGTTTTGGTTTCAGAGTAATGCTGATCTCATGCAATGAAATGAGAATTGTTACCTCTTTTTCAACTTTCTGGAAGAATCTGTATAGAACTGCTATCGTTTCTTGCTTAAATGTTTGACATAATTCACCAGTAAAGCTATCCAGACCTGGAGATTTCTCTGTGAGGTTTTCAACCATCTATTTAACTTCTTTAATAGATTTAGAGCTAATAAGGTTATATATTTCTTCTTGAGGGTGATTTGACACAGCATTCTTCGAGAAATTTGTAAATTGGGCCAGGGATTTAGCTCAGTGGCACAGTGCCTGCCTGGCAAGTGTGAGGTTGTGAGTTCTATCCCTGGTACCAAAATAAAAATAAAATTAAATTTAAAAATTTTTTAAAAATTTTGCCTATGTTGTTGACTGTACTGATAAAACATTATTCATCATTTCTGTGGTGTCTGTAGGGTCTGGATTGATGCTTCCTGTGTTGTTAGTCAGTGTCTTTTCTCTCTGCTGTAATCTGTGTGGCTAGAGATTTAGAAATTATATTAATCTTCTCAAAGAACCAACTTTAAGTTTTTCTCTATCTCTCCGATTTATTATTTCCTTTCTCCTATTTACTGTAGGAAAACTCATTTTTCTTTTTCTTGTTTTTAAGGGGAAGCTGAGGCATTTGACTTGAGAGTTTTCTCTTTTCCTCACATATCACTTGACGATACACATTTTCCTCCAATCACTGCTTTAGCCTCAGCTCACAGATTTTTATGAAATTCTTTGATTTTTCACTCAGTTCAACATATTTCCTTTGTGATTTCTTTTCTGACACATGAGTTCTTTAGAATTGTGTTGTCTAGTTGGAAGAAGTTTTCTGGATTTTTTTGTTTGTTTCTGATTTCTAGTTTAATTCCATGACTGCCCAAGAACATTATTGATATGATTTGAATCCTTTAAAATTTATTACATGTCAAAGAAAGCTGGGGACCCACAGGCGCTGGACCCAGACTTTTGCTGGGGAGAAGAGCGATTTTATTATGAGCTCTGGAAGGTTTTAAACAAAGAGGGGGTTTGGCTTGAATTATGTTTCTGTATAAACATGGTTGCTGTTGTGGAGGACAATACAGGTATCAGGAATCAGTCTGGACACTTCCGGTGACAGCCATAGCAAAGGGGGAATAGATGTACCTGGAAACTATGCAGAGGGGAGTTAACCTGGTAGCACTGGAGGTGAGAAAGTTTCCTTCGGAAAGCAGAGAATGAAAGGCCACTCCTCCCACCCTTACCCTAGCGGGCTTCCACTTCCATTTTTTTTTTTTTTTTGTCTTTGTCCTTTTTATCGGTACCGGGGATCGAACTCACGACTGCCTGCTTGCAAGGCAGGCGCTTATGCCACTGAGCTAAATCCCCAGCCCGGGCTTCCACTTCCTGCCACACACACCAGCCTGCAAGAGCCAGGCATCGCCCACCCCCGGGGGGGTCTCTGCTCCCAGGGCAGCCCCATATGTCCCTACACAGTGTTATCCTCTTTGAACCACGAGTATATGTGACCAACCACTGCCAATGTCATCTGTCCAGGCCGGGCCATGTGTGTGGCATCCTTGGAGCCCAGGTCAGGAAGGTTCTCATGCACTGGTAACTAACACAGCTCCTTTCTTACAGAGGATAAGAAAGCCCCTGTATGGCAGGTGGCTGGGCCAGGGAGACTGGGCTGGATGCCAGACGCCACACACCTCCCTAGCTGGGTGCCTTGGGGCAGGCACAACCTGGACACCCGTACCAGGTCACTCTGCTAACAGCTCCACGTGCTGAACTGCAGCCTGTTGCAAGATCAGTGAGCTCGGATAGTCACCCTGGGACGAGGCTTGGGGAACATTTTCTGTTTACAGTGGGAGCTCTGTGAGCGGGGCAGTGAGACTGGAACTCCTGCTTCACCTGGGGTGGCTGAGTGCCAGCAGGCAGGGCGAGGACCCGTGTTGTTGGTGAAACTAATCCAGGGCAACCAGGGCAGCCGTGGCCACCTGACAACAGGCTCCTATTAGGGCTGAGGCAGGTTGGAGAGGGTAGCCAGAGACAGGAGAACAGGGGTGATCAGCAGGCGCCCCCTCACCACCTTGAAGAGACAGCTTGGTTGCCTGCCCCACCCTGCCCCCAGCCCCGGGGCTGCCCGATTGTCTGGAACCCTCAGATTGGAGAAGAGGTGACTTCTTCATCCAGTGTTTTGGTCAAAGGAACTCAGAGCAGGCAAAACTCCTAGAGCCAGGTGCTTTCCACAATGACCGCCTCTTGCCGGTGGCCCCCAGGCACAGCAGATCTCCTAGGTTAACCCAAAGACACACATGACCAAAGGGCTGCCTGCTGGGGGGAGGGGGCAGAGCTGGCATCAGGTCTTGCAGGACTGGTCTTATTCTCCCCTGGATACCTGGAGCCTAGCACAGTGCCTGACACATAGGAGGTACAGGCGAAATCTAAATTAAATGAAAGAAGAAAATGCCAGCTTCCTCCTCTTCTACCCAGCTGCCCTTAGGCAAGTAACTAATTTTTCTGCATCTCAAATCCCCTTCCAGTGAAATCAGACACTCAACACCGACGCTTGGCAGTGTGACACGGGCAAGGCCTCACTGAGCACCGACTGCTGTCACCACAATCCTGACCTTGGCTCCTGCTCAGCTGGAGGCCTCCCCGTGGGCACCTTCCCGGGGAACCAGCAGGCACAGGGACAGATCGGTCTCTGCCCTGGACTACTCATCTGCATTAGCCTGAGAACAACCTGGCGAGCAGGCAGGGCGCTTTGTTGTCTTTGATTTTTTCTTTTAACACTCATTTTACATATAGGCAGCAGAAGCATGCAGGAGGGGTTCCCGCTGGCCCGAGAGGCTGGGGAATTTCCCTTCTGTTCTGTTCCTTCAAATCTAACAGAGAGGTGGCCTGGGCCTGGGGTTCTGGGGTTACACCAGGGCAGTGGAGGCTGCCTGGGTCTAGGGAGCCAACCTTGGTGAGCGAGGTTAGATGACTTCCCGGGAAAGTGTTGACCAGGCTGGAGTCACATTGCCCTGTCTAAGGCACAGTCACTTTCTACCCAGGGGACAGTCGCTTCATCTCTCCAACCCTTAGCGTCTCCACTGGTAAATGGGAGCAGGAATGGTGCCCAGCAGGGCTGTAAGGCCAGATGGACTGGGGATCGCCGGCCTCCATACCTCTGCGCTCCCGACCAAGTCACCCACTCACCTGCCCTGCAGGTCCCAGATGGTGTCCGGCAGTGGAAGTCCCTGGGTGTCCGGGAGGAAAAGCAGGAGAAGCAGACTGGAGGCCACAGGGATGATACTGTAGGTCAGTGGAGGCAGCAAAGGCAGGGCCTGGCGGGCCATCCGGATCAGGGGGCCCACCATCGCCCCCAGGCGGCCGACCGACTGCAGGAAGCCTTCGGCAGTCATCCTGTGGGGGAGGGGCCGACCGTGGAGCGGGTGGCTGGGTGGGGCGGGGAGGGGGAGCTGGCGGGCCCTGCCCTCTCAGGGGCTCCTCCTTGGCGCCTGCCTGAATTGTCCCATTTGGGCTTCAGGGGAACACTTGAGAGCCCCTGTGTGGTCCTGTTTCTGGTCACTGGGGGCCAAGAAAGCACTAAACCTGTAAAAGTCATCAGAAAATGATCCAGAAGAATGGACCAGTGGGGGAGGGGGCGTGTACCCAGCAGGAGGGACAAAGCTGGGCCAGGCTACCCTCCACTGAGGCAGTCTGTCACCCTGAGCCTCACTTTATCCCACTGCTAACTGTGGGCGAGGCAGATACTCCCTGGTGTTCCCTGGAGTCTTTGGATTCTGGGGAGATGAGCTGACTGGAGGCATCCTTGGGGCAGGAAGGGGGCAGTGGAAAGTGGGCAGACCCCCCTCAGCTGCCCAGGAAGCTTAGTCTCCTCACCAGGATTCTTATTTATTTACAGATTATATCATATCATATATATTTTTTTTGTCTTTTTCCTTTTTATTGGTGCCAGGAATCGAACTCACGACTGCCTGCTTGCAAGGCAGGCTTTTATGCCGCTGAGCTAAATCCCCAGCCCCTATATCATATATTTTTTGTACTACTGGATACTGAGCCTAGATCCTTCATACTAAACTATAAACCTTGCTCTTTTTTTGTTTATTTTTTTCTAGAGATAGAATCTTGCTAAGTTGCCTGGGTTTGGCTCAAACACAACCATCCTCCTGCCTCAGCCTCCCAGAGTGCTGGGATGATAGGCATATATCTTCGTGCCCAGCCACCAACGGTATTTTAAGGAGCCACCTGAACAGAAGGGATTTCAGAGTGCACACTGGAGCTTCTGCACCCCCATGCAGAGATGCCCTAGAGGCATCTGCGCCTCCAGAGTCTAGACCTTCCTTGGGAAGGCTGTCTGCAGTCCCTTCCCCAGCCTAGCGGCAGATCCCTGCCCCTGCCCTCCCCACTGGCCCTCCCAGCTGGCCCTCTCCCGCCTGCCCACTCCACCCCCTACTGGAGGCCTGGTGGCCCCTCTGAAGCCAACCCCTCCTACCGCAGAGGCGTGGGGAAGAGCTCCACCCTGTATATGGTCAGGCAGGTCAGGCTGATGCCAAAACATCCTTTCCCCAGCACGGCGAGGGCCACGCGCAGGCTCTGCAGATCTGGGCAGAGGGAAAGATGAGTGGGGTGCACCCAAGGTGGGCACCAGGGGCAGCCAGTCTGGTGAGGCAGGCGGGGTCTCCCGCCAGCTGCTGGCAGGGCTGCCATGGTGCCAGACCTCTCGCTGCTCACATTTGGGCTGGAGCCGCCATCTGGGGGGCCCACAGCCGCCCTCCACCTTGCTCAGTGCTCCCACCTGCCAGCTGCAGGGCAGCCTCTGCTTTCCTCTTGGCTTTGCTGCCACCACAGGCCACATGTCCCTGTCCCCTGCCTAACGCTGAGTGATAAAAAGAGGCCACAGGACAAGAAGTAAGACAGGGCCTGTGAAGCCTTCCAGCTCTCTCTCTGCTTGGTTCCCTCTTGGCCTCATTGTGAGCAGCCAGCCTTCCGTACTCTTCCTGCCCCACTCAGGTCCAAGTCCTGGCCTGTCACTCATCAAGATGGGTGGCCCTGGACACCAGTGTCACCTCTCTGACCCTAGGGGAAGTGGTGGGGTATGGCTGTGGGGGAGGGGACTGGAGTGGAGCAGAGGTGGTGAAAGCCACAGGTGGGACAGAACTGGCACATGGTGGCTGCGGCTCCTGGGGCAGGGGCAGGGGCCGGAAAGGGATCTGGGGCAGGATAGGATGGCAGGCCCAGGCCCTACCTCACCTTGAGGCACCAGCCCATTGGCCAGGATGCAGAAGCCAGCCAGGGCCAGGGAGCTAGCCTGGGTCATGCGGCGACCGAGGAGCCTGAACAACAGGACAGTGGTGGCCCGGCCCAGGAAGTCCATGGCCCCAAAGAGGGCCTGCAGGAGGAAGATGTCCCTGCCCAGGCTCTGCAGGTCCAGGACCAGCCCATAGTAGGACAGCTGCACAGAGAAGCTGTGGGGCAGAGCAGAGGTTCCGTCCTGTTTGGAGAAGAGAGACCCCAGCCCGCAGCAGGCTGTCTGGGGGGACAGCCCCACGTGGCTCATCATGGCCACAACTCCGAGGACCCTGAAGAAAGCAGGATGCGTCTCCCAGGTCAGGCTCATTCCAGGGAAGAGCTGGGAAGCCATGGACAGGGTGGTGATGGCTGGTGTCACCTCTTGGACTGCATAGACACTGGTCAGCCGGAAGGCATGATCTTCCCTGGGCTGGCACCCTGGGGAGGAGCCTGGGGATCTCTTGGGCCATGTGAGCTGTCCCTTCAGTGCCAGTCTGGCCCCTGGGTTTCCAGAGTCATGCTCCCTCTATGGCTCTCTGAATGCCAGGGAAGGGCTGGGCTTCCTCTGTCCCAGGAGGCCTTATCCCCCAGCCCCTGGAAGTGCTGCCTTGCAGCTGGGGAGAGCACCCCATGGCAAGTCTGCAGGGGCCAGAGGGATGCCCCAACTCCTGCTTCCTGTCTCTGCTGCTGGGGTGAGGCATCCCTTCCCCCGAGCTCCTAGTAGCTGAACTTAAGGAGTATCTGAACTTCCGGTTTGGAGCTGGAATTCGGGGTTACATATGGTCGCATAGTGAACGAGTCTCCATTTTTAAAATCTGTGCCCCCTGCCTCCGGTTAAGTAGTCATCTCAGCCCTTCCATGACTTCTCCAGACAGACACCCCTGGGTGTGAGTGACCACAAGCAGGAAAAGCAACCGCCAGGCCCTGCAGCCTTTTAGGTGACACACGAAGGAGGCCAGGCGTGGCTGGGACCCGAAGGCCTAATGGCCCGCAAGAAGCAACAGCACTGGGTTTCCAGGCCTCTCATCTGAATAATAAACGCTGTTCAAAGGAGAAGCCATGCATCGGGAAGGACTTTAATGGGGGGCTGGTGGCCCTGGATGTTGGTCTCCTTAATTTATCAGAAAAAAATTAGGCTAAAAATAACAAAGATTTTAAAAAGCATTTGATCTTCTTTGTTCATCGACATAGCAAATATTTGCTATAATAACCTATCGAAGGTTAAATATAGCATAAAGTAAACATTTTCCTAATCTAGCTTCAAGGTGAAGTTTCAGTGAAGTCCGAGCCTCGTACTTGATACGCTGTCTTGAGTGTCTCTGGAACTGAATTCCAGTTTTTTGCAGGACAGCAGGGCCTTGTCCACATGAGCTGGTGGGGACACCCAGACCCCAGCCTGGATTTCCAGGTAGCTCCATCTTGGGGTTAGCTGGGTCCCCTCTCTGAAGTGGGGTGCTGTATGGGGTAGGGAGGACCCGGTGCCTGTCAGTCTCCAGACTGTCAGGCTGAGTCTCCAAGTCCTCAGCTGTGGTCAGGCCCCTGGCTTCAGTCTGACCCTGTCCCCAGCAGGGGATACCATCCCTGTCTGTGCTGCTGTGGCTTCCTGCACACGCCGGCCTCTGTACCCCTCTCCTCCACCTGCCAGCCCTGGCTTCCCGGGCACCTTGAGAGTGCCACATTCCCGGTCACAGCCCTGTCATCAAAGCGTCCACCGCGCCTGCATACTTCACCATCAGCATGGTCCAGGTTGTCCTGCGGAGCATGGGTATGCGAAACAGGTCCAGCACTGAGTGGTGCGTCCTCGAGGAGACCGCCTCCTCCTCTATGCTGGACATCAGCACCTCCAGGGAGAAGGGGATACCATGAATGTTGGGACCGTGGACCTACCCTGCCTTTCTGCCAATGAATGGTGTCAGGAGGGTAGAGAGTAGGGGAGCCTGGCTTTGGTCTCCTGACGTCTGTGGCCCGTCCTGGAGAAGGTGTGGGGAAGAAGAACCCCCTTCTCTGGCCTCCTGGCTCTGTTGCAGCCCTGGCCCCTGATGAGCTCAGGTAACTTTTGGGAGGCGCATGCAACACCCCAGCTTCCTCCTGGTCTGCATGGCAGGCACCGGGGCACACCCACTCGGACCAAGCGGCTTTCTCACCGCTCCCCAGCTGTCCACCCAGTGCTCTGGCACCTCTGAGTTCAGCTCAGGGCCACGGGCTCTCACTTGCCTCCTCCTGGAAGCCTCCCTCAGCCTCCCCGCTCCAAGGAGCTGTGTCTTCTCATCTGTGGCAGCACATCCTCCATCTGACACCCGCTTCCTCAAAATAGCTACCTTCAAATAGGCTCGCTCTGCTTCCTCAGATACACCGAGGAGCCTGAGAAGCAGGTGTGCAAGGCCCGTGGGATGAGGGTGGGCATCTGGGACCCAGGTGATGACAGAGGTGTCGTCGTGACTGGTGAAACAGTGGTGTGATGGGAGGATGGTGGTGGGGAGGGTATTGGAGATGACGGTGGTGTGATAGAGGGAAGGAGAGGGTGGGTGTGGATGGTTGTACCATTCTGCTGAGGACAGTGCTATTACTGTGGTGGTGGTGGTGACGGTGACAGTGATAGTGACGGCCCTAGTAACTGTGTTTCTCAGAAACGCTTGTGGTGAGACCAGGGCAGAGCTGACCACACGCTGGTGATGTGGGTGGACAGTAACACATCACGGATGTCCTTTCCCATGTCCAGTCACGCTCTGGCTCACAGATAGCAACTCCTCACCTGTATGGTCAGTGTCTTTTTGGCCTCCTGGTGGCCATTTATCCTGGCCACCTTTTTGAGTTCCCGCAGTGCTTTGTCTGGTCGGCCTGTGATGATCAGCCATCGGGCAGATTCAGGCAGCCACCTGTGAAAGAAGCAGGTGTCTGGCTGGGACTTGGTGGTCCTGTGTTAGCTGGGCCGAGGGGAAGGGGCAGTGGGTGGTGGGCCCTCCAGCTTACCCCGCTGGCCTCTCTGACTCACTCAAGCCATTTGTCGGGCAGGGGTACAGGCTGGCTGGGCAGGGGTATGCTTAGCACGTCCACTTCTCCAAAAGCCGTGGGGCCATTTCAATGACAGAAAGGCTGCGTGGGGCTACAGTTTTGTGGTTTCTTTGTTGTGCTTTTTTTCATATTTAAAATGACCCCAAGAAGAGCTGGGTGAGTCCCTACAGCAGCCCCCTGTCCCCTTGCCTCACAGGCAGCCTGACCTGCAGGGCCTTGCCCTGGTGAAGGCAGAGAGTCTGCCCAGTGCGCTGGGCTCAGCCTGTTTGCAGAGAGGCTAGGAACCTTCCCGGGTAGATTGACACAGCTGCTGAAAAAGCTGACCTGCAGGGCTCAGATCCTGCCCTAGGGACTCTCCAGTGGGCGACCTCAGCCCCAGAGGCTTAACCTCCCTGAGTTCCGCTCCCTCATCTAAAAAGGCAGCGATAACAGTGTCTTCTCCCCGCTGAGACAGCAATACACCTCTGGTGTTATGACCGCATCTGGTTTTGACCCGGGTGACCCGATGGTGTAATCCGTGTGATTATGGGATAGCTTCCTCTGTGCTTATTGATCTGCTTATAGAATATAAATTCCATGCTGCAGCTGGCTGTTTGTCTGTTTTGGTCACTGATGTGTGTCCAGAGCCCAAAGCCAAGTCTGGCCCTGGGCAGGAGCTCAGTAACTATCTGAGAATGACTGCGCCCCCACAGCAGGCCTATCTGGCTGGCTCTGCTGGCTGCAGCTCAGGGACTCCAGAGAAGACAGTGACATTGATTTGCATTCCTTTCCCTGGTCCCTTCCCCTACCCCCACCCAAGCAGGTATTTCCAGACTTCAGGGAATTTTGCAGCACCAAAACCATAGTGACAATGATCTAGTTTCATAGCCAACATTGGTTCTCACTGACTTGGATGCCAGGTGACAGGAAGGAGAGAGGCTGGTGGGTGGGGACGGTGCCAGCGTGCTGGAGGGACAGAGCTTGCAATGAATTCTGGCCAGACTCTGGCCTGGGACCCCTGGTACTCCCCATTTTCTTGAAAAGGTAGAAATACGGTTCATCTTTGTTTTAAAACATCTCCTGAGTTTTAATTTCTGGCAAAAAGTTACAATTTTTTTTTTTACATCACTGAAAATTTTTTTGCGCCCTGGAGCCAGTGCTGTGCCGGCAGATGGATGCCTGACCAGGCTGGCTGGCAGCCACAGGCCTCGGGCTGACGCTGCCCCAAGAGTGGCCAATGGCTGTCCCCATGGAGGGTCTGATTCAAGCCATTGCCCTTTAGGGAGTGGGAGGCAGGGACCCCCCTTCCCATATCTCCCACTGGAGGAAGCCCCGGGCCACACTGACCAAGATATGAAGCAGAAGGCCAGGAAAGGCACGGACACGGCCAGCTGGAGATCCTGCCAGTCCCGCAGGATGAAGGCCAGGCCTGCCACAGCCATCTGGCCAGTGCTGTAGGTGCATCCCAGTATCGTCATGGTGACAGCCCTCCTGCGGGTCGTGGTCCACTCTGCCACTGCAAGGCCGTGCAGACATGCAGGTGAGGGCTCATCCCTTCTTGCCCCTCCCCATACCCTCGGTGCCTGAGCGAGGGACTCACTCAGCGTTGACAGCACTATGATGATGCCAGCGTGTCCAAAGGCACTCAGGAACCGGAGGCTGCAGTAGATGAGGAAATTCGGGGCAAAGGTGGCCCCGGCACCAGCTACGGCCACCTGCAGGCAGCACCAGCTCAGCATTGGTTTCCGCCCAAGCCTGTGGCGGGGAGGAAATGATCCTGGGGGTGCTGACCAGGCCCAGGCCAGGGTGTATGTGGGGGTGCTGTTGCTGCTTGGCAAAGCCTGGGAGACCAGCACAGGCAGCTCCTCCCTCCCAGGGCTGCTCAGAGCCCCCACTGAGAGCTCTGGTTATCACAGTGGCAGTTGCCGCGCTCCTGGGACCCTGGTGTCAGATGCTGGGCTAAGTGCAGCCCTGCCCTTCCTGGTGACGGGGCTGTAAGAGGTGCCCATAACGATGCCCCTTGAGGTGTGTGGATTTGTGAACGTGACGGCCCTGGGAAAGGAAACCAGGAGACCAGTTCCTGTCCTGCCTATGCCTGGGCCAGGAAGTGCCAGAGGCCCATGGGGATCACAGCCTGGACCATTGTGACCTCTGGGAAGCTTAGCTGAAATGTTGGCTGCCATCAGCATGACTAACACAGATAGAGACGGGGTGGCACTTGGCTTTGTCCCCTGTGTGTCAGGCCCTGATCCAGGCCTCAGGGTGACTATGAGGGGACTCACCAGTGGACCAGAGGACCCAAGTGATTCGCTTTTCACATGCGTGACACTGTAGTCACAGACCACACACGCCCTCAGCTGGCCCCCGGCTGCTCTCCGGGAGACAGGCTTGAAGCAGCAGCGTCCTGGGCTGGGCCTAGCTCCGGGCTCTGTGCGGAATAACTCACTTGATGCTCACGGTAACCGAGTGGGAGGTGTAAGAGTCCCCACTGATGGAGGAAACTGAGGCACAGGGAAGAAATTGCATCCTAGGACCAGGCTTCTATGGGGACCCTGGCATCGGGCAGTGTCAGATAGTAGCTGGAAAAGACGGCGTCCCCGAGGCCTGCACAGAATCTTACCCGAGTCCCTGCCACATTCCAGGTGGAGGAAGAGGAGGAGGGGCAGAAGGAAGAAGAAGAGGAAGAGGAAGAGGAGGAGGCGCTGGAGGAGGAGGAGGGATATGTGGAGAGCACGCTCCTCATCTCAGGTCTGAGTGTAAAGCTTGCCCAGTTCATCCGAGGAGCTGCCAATCTGCCCCCACAAACAGCGGGCACTTGGTGTCCCCTCCCCGCTGCCCCTTCTTCACCCATCTCTGCTGGGGACAGAGTGTCCCTGGCATGTGGGCCCACAGGGGACATCCCTTGTGGGGACTGCGGACAGTGGTGTGGAAAGGAGAAAAGGCCACGTGGCCACATCTGACTGGGAATGCGAGGCCATGGCTGCACTACGGGGAGCCGGGCCAGGGGCTGGGGAGACCTGGAGCAGCCTGTGGGTTCACAGGGACGGCCGAGGAGGGCACAGACTGAGCAGTCAGAGGGAGAGGAGGCCGGGACAGTTGGGGACTGGGGTGCACATGCAGGGCTGGCCTCAGCCTTCCTGGCTCAGATGGGGAGCACTTGGCTGGCTGCTGGCTCGGTGCCACCTGATAAGGGCACAGGGGGACCCCGCTCAGGACATGTGACACAAGGCTGTCACTAAGTGAGGGACACAGGGGCTGGAGTCTGGGAGACAGAATGTCTTACTGGACCTCCAAGCCTGCAGACCTTGGTCTCTGTCTGCCCGTCAGGGTCACATGACACATGGGTATCATCCGTCCCCCAGGACTTCATGACTCAGCTTCAGTCTACGTCTGCATTCTCTTGCCAAGCCCTGCCCCAGTCACCGTCCTGGGAGAAGCCCCGCTAGCCCCCAGGGTGGACTCAGCCTGTCCTGCCCTGCGCTCCTGTGTTTCTACGTCACAGCCAGCTTTTCCCAGAAGGCCTGACATTCAGTATGTGCTCAGTCCAGAGCCAAAGGTCATTTCCCCCCACCCCCCAGGACAGGCACTGAGGCTCCCTGAGGTCCTTGAGAGTCGCTGTCCTGCTGAGGCTTGTGACATGTGGGAGACATAGGAGCCCCCTTTCTGAGGGGACACAGAGGCTCCCAAGACTCCACGGTGCCTTTTGTCTCCTCAATCTCTGATTCCACCTTAGGGGGCTGGGAGGGGAGGGGACACTCACCGGTAGGACAGGAGGCCCCAGACGAAGGACCCCACTAGGATGCCGGCCATGTAGAGGGACTGTCCCATGGGCTTCAGGCCCTGTGAGTCACACACCAGGTCCCACTGCAAGGGGAGGCGGAGAGACAGCTCAGGAGGACATGGGGTTGGCAGGGGTGGCACAGGGAGAGCCAGGTGCAAGGCCAGCTACAGAGAACCTGGTCAGCCTAATCCTTGGGGTCCAATCCCTCCACAGTGTCCCTGGGGTCCTAGTGACAGGCCACGGGGACAAGGGATCTGCTGGCCTGCCCGTCCTCTAGACACACCTGATGCCCTCCTCCCTTATCCATGGGACGAGCACCCACGGGACTTTGGTGACATCAGGACAGATGGCAAGGTGTGGTCAGTGCTGGCCATCTCAGAGGTGCCAGTGAGGGTGGGCTCTGCCCTTGTGACAGGTCTGAGCACGGACTGAGTGGCCTGGTCACCCCTGAGGCCTCGTTCATCCTCTAACCCTAGCCCACATCCAAGCCCAGATCACCACAAGCACCAGGACGTATGTGTTGAATGTAAATTCTTCCCTCGGCCAAACTTTGATCAGGCCTTGGAAGCTTCTCCTGGCCCTAACTAGGTGCCTACTTATAAAATCCAGTTTCAGCCAAAAATTCTGGTAGCCAGTTTCTAAGAGACTCCTGGCCTTGGTTTCTGAGAAATTCCACATCCTGCAGCCACACCCCAGGGCAAGTGATACTGGGCCTGCGTCTGCCCGCTCAGGACCCCTGGATGGCTCCTCTAGGTGCCCCTTCCACTTCCTGCCCCCATTGTCCCTTGACAGTAAACTGCCCGTTTATATTGTGAGTTGAATCCATTCTCTCCATTCCCAGGTGACCCTGTGCTCGCCAGGATGGTACGGTGGTGTCTTCCATGCTTTATCAGGGTCTCTGAGTTTTTCTTTCTTTAACACAAGGGTGGTGATTCGCCCCTCCCAGCTCAGGATGGGTGACCGTCCTTTGTAGCCAGGAAGGGGCAGCTGTGTGGCCAGTGTGGGCAGCCCTTACCTTGGTCACCACAGTGGCGGCGAAGGTGCTGTGGTCATACACCCAGCCGTCCACGCACGGCTCCGTGGCAGCCTCACTCCAGTTGGTGGCCGTGGCGTTGGGGTCCAGGAGCTGCCACTGTGGTTGGCGGAAGCGGCGGCACGGGTGGGGCTGCTGGTCGGGGCCCAGCGGGATGGACACAGCCAGGAGGGCCTCCTGGGTAAAGTCTGAAGGGATAGCAGAGCCATTGTCCAGCTCTCGGGTCCAGCAGCGGTGGTCTGGGACAGCAGCTGAGAAGTTCTCCAAAAGCAGCTGAAAAGGGGTGAAAATGGCCGGGAGGAGGAGGGTGGTGACCTGCAGGGTCTGGAAGAGCCCCGCACCCCCAACTCGCTCCAGGAGCTCCTCAAATGCCATGCACAGGGCTGGCCCTGGAGGTCAGTGAGCCCCAACCTCAGCCAACCACTTGGGAACAGCTGCAAAGTGAGTCCAAGGCCTTTTCCACTGCCTCGTCCTGACTGGGAACCAGCTGCCAGTCCAGAGCCAGCCTGGGATGCTTTGAGGAAATTTCCCTTTATCCCGTCTCCCACAGGGACCTTTCAGATGTCCCCACGCTGTGGAATGGACATCAGGGGGAGAGCGCTCACTGTGCCCGGCCCCCCAGGACTTTGGAGCTGCCAGTCAGGACCTCAGAGGCCTGAGTCTCCCTCTGGGCTCTCCACACCAAAAGTGTAAAGTCAAGAAGGTTTAAAAAAAAAAAAAAAAAAACCAGACTGCAAAGCTGGATGTTACTGAATTACAGCCAGGGAGGAGGACTGGCTGCCAGGCCTCCCCGGGTGGGTTAAAGTTTAATCTCAGCATGGGCTCCAGGCTCAGGTGGGAACTGCAGCTCTGGGGGCCGGCCTGTCTCAGCCTTGCATCCAAACCTTTGGAACCTTCTCCCTGGGGTCTGTCCAGCCAGGAAGCTGCTGCCAAAGTCACTCATCGGAGAGCCATCCACTGGGGTTCTCCTCCTCGTCCAGGGGCACTCCTTCCCAGGAGCCCTCAGAGGCTGCTCACAGACATACTATTTCTGGAAGCTTCTATTCTGAGGCTTCAGATTGCCATAATTAGACAATAAGCTCCCTTAGGGTGGAAACCATGGCTACCATCTCCCGGCATCTCGTAGATGCCCTTCGTGGGTCAGAGCCCGACAAAGTCACAGCTTCCTGTCTACCTTTCCAAGGCTGGCCAGCTTCTGGGTGGGGTATATGGAGCCATCCCAGGCCTCTCCTGAGTTGTGGCTCTTACAGACAGCTGCTCCTGGCACTCAGAGCTGGCTGCACGCCCGCGTTCTGTGCCCTCACTCATTCCTCGTAGCAGTCTGGGAGAGAAACAGCACCAACTCCCTCTAACAAGGAAACTGAGGCTCAGAGAGGGCAGGCACTCGCCCAAGGTCACACAGCAGGGCCCAAATGCAAACCAGACACCAAAGATATCTCTCTCTACCCACCATGAGCAGCCCATCTTGCACCAAACCCCAGCTAAGAGCAAGATTTGGGTCAGAATCAGGGCCAGCTTAAGTCACGTCTCAGGGTATGAGGCCAAGGGACCGAGTAGTTCTGGTGGGAAGCGTGGAACCATGGGCAGAGTGTAGGTGGGTGTCTGCACCCTGAACTTCCGAGAACCTCCCCAGAGGTGTGGGGAACTGGGCCAGGATGGCGGCCGGCCAGGAAGTCGGCGAGCCAGGCTTCCGGGACTGGATCTCGAAGCCTCTGAGCTCCTCTGAGCAGGAACTTGTTATGAATATTAAAATAGCAGACCAGACGGAGAGCAGGGGAGGTGTCCAGGACGCCCGAGTGGCGCTTACCCCCAGGCCTGCCCTCCCTTCCTTTGTGCGGAAAACTATCCCACCCAGAAAGGCCAGGGCCCAGGATGTGACCCCCTCGCCCCCAGGTTTTCTGCCGCCCTGAACCCTGTGGTCTGCGCCTTGCCAAGCGCCGGCCGGGGGGGGGGGGGGGGCTGTGGAAAGCCAAGGCAGCCAGGAGCGATTCGCTTCCTTTTCCCTCTCCGTCTTCCATATGCTTTCACAATGTGTTTCTTCTTCCCTGCCCTTTGCCAGTCACGGACACCCCGAGGTTTTGCTCACAGCAGAAGGTCAACCCTCCCGGATTTGCCAGAAGGCTCCCGGAATCTCCAACTGTCTTCGGGCTTCCAGGCCAAGGAATTTGTAATTAGTATTTTCAGTTTTCCTGGGACTGCTGGGGAGGTCAGGGCTCAGTGCAGCTGCTCTGCCACCTGGTGGTCACACCTGGGACTGCGCTGCTTCTAAGAATCAGGCTCGACCTGGCTAGTGAGCCCATCCCCCAGGGGCACCTGGACCAGTGGGGCTGGAGGAGGCGGCCTCAGATTAGCATCACTAAGCCCTCCAGGATGTCTCATTAAATTAACCTGTGAAAAGGGGACCCGGAAGCAGTACTGCCGGGGTGGGGCACTGACTCTTCCAGCCATGGGCTCCCATCAAGTACGCTGCAAGACAGGCTGCCTGCTAAAGGCTCCTGGGCAGTTGTGTGCCTTCTCTGAGCTCCTGTCTGTCTTAGAGACAGAGTCTTCCACCTCCAGGAGTAAGATTAAGTGGCACGGAGCATGAGACCAACAATAAATGTTAGCTACCGCCACTATTATCTGTTAGGTCTGAGAAGAGTAGAGGAAGAGGGGAAGGAAGGGAAAGAAGTGGAGTGGACGGCTGTGAAAGGAGTGGGCGGCGGTGGCTGCAAAGATAAGAAATATAAAATATAAGTAACCTTTATTTCGGGAATGCGGGGAGAGACCCCCGGCCCCCGGGGCGCAGCATCTCCACCCCGGGGCCGGCGGTCTCTCTCTGGAACACACTCTCCCTTTCTTCTGTCGAACACGTGGAGTGAGGCCCATAAGTAGCCTCTGTCTGGGGTGGACCCCAAGGGGCATTGGGGATGCACAGGTATTTCATTGGCACACGTTTGGCACCAGGGACAGGTTCTTAGGGATGGGGGTACAGGGTTACAGGTAAATCTATAGGGGCGGGGGAGGCAGGAGCCCCCTAACTTGGCTGAGGCTTTTCCTGGTTAAAGTGTCCAGTCTGGGCCAGCAACTCTTTCATTATCATCGCCATTATCAACATCATTGTCATCATCATCCCTGTGACCTTCAGCATTGTCCTGGTCTCCATCACCACCGTCGTCATCACCAACATCACATCATCATCAGCACCATCACCATCCCCCATCACCATTCCATCACTAACGTTATCACCAACATCCTTGTTACCGTCACTGTCATCACCACCGCCATCATCACCATCACTGTCATCACCATGGCCACCATCAACCAGCTCCAGTGTGATCATGGCCACCACACGTGATCACCGCCACTGTTGCCCTTGGCCCTCGATCTTCCTCTGTGTCCTTTACTTGAAGCCGCAGTGTCTCAGAGGTACCCGGGATCATTAGGTCCCCGTGTGGTCCCTCCCCGCAGCCCTGGCAGAGCCTGGGTTTGACCTTGAGACAAGGATCGTTCCTGGCTTCACACTGCAGTAGGGTCAGGGCTCCCCAGGGGCCTCTCTCCTCGCCAAGCCTGGGCCTTTTATGTTACAAAAACTCATCTTTGTAAACCCCCTAGAATTCATTTTCTTTTTCTTTTCTTTTGTCTTTTTCCTTTTTATCGGTACCGGAGATCGAACTCACAACTGCTGCTTGTAAGGCAGGCACTTGTGCCGCTGAGCTAAATCCCCAGCCCCTCATTTTCTTTTTTCTGAGGAAGGAGGATGAAGAGACCCTCATTCACGCTCCTGTCTTTTTCGAGGGGCTGTTGGAGATGGGGTTGAGGGTCCCCCATATGTGAAGAATATGCTGTACCACTGAGCTACACTCCTGGCCCTGTCCTGTACTTTCTTACACCCCAACACGGTCAGTCAGGGCTCACATAAGGTCCCTGTCGCCCTTGCCCTGGAGGAAGTCGCACAGACACCTTCTCCTGTGTGTTCAGAAATACGACCGTGCCAGCCCTAAAAATGAACCGGGTCTTCCTGAGAAGTTGTACACACACAGCGACACCCCAAAGGATCTAGAAATGTGAAAAGTGAGAAGAAAGAGTCTTTTCCTCTCACTGCCCAGGGGCAGCTGCCACCAAGCATGTATGTGCTTCTGGAAGAATCTTGACAAATACTCAAATATGTGCGTGAGCTTTTAAAACTGTGGCATAGATAGTAAATTCATGGGGTTCAAAAACAGCAAATGTGAACCATAAAAAGCTCTCCCGGCCCCACCCTCCCGAGCTACCCACAGGGAGCAGTGGCCCGGGGAGCCATTTTTAGTTTCTTGTGCAGCCCTTCAGATTTTTCCGTCTGAAAATAGGAAACAAGCATACAGGCACGTACCTGGGCTGCCTCTCATGGCAGTGTGGTGCAGGGATGCGAACTCGTCGTGGGTTGAGCTGGTCGCTGGCCCAGGCTATGTGGCCTCTGTCACCACCCTGGCATTGCAGGAAGCTCAGGTAAAGACCTCGCTCACGCGCCATTTCCACAGTGGCTGGCACCTCCATGACACGAGATTCCGGGAGGGCACTCGCCTCCGTGGGGAAAGGCCGTGGGCGGAGGCCTTCAGGAGCAGCTGTCACCACCGCAGGGACATGCCGCTTAATTCTGTCACACTCGGGGGGGGGGGTCTCCCCAATATCATGGGTGAAAATGATCTCCGGGTAGCTTGGGCTCACATTTCCCCTGAGTGAAGCCGGGCATCGCTTAATATAGTTAAGATGTATTTGCGAGTCTCTTCCTGTGCCTGCTTCTGCACATTCCTTACCTGCTTTTCAATTATAATTTGTCCTCGCCTCCTCAGTGTCAGGGTTTTTGTTTCTTTGGTACTGGGAATTGAACTCATGACTGCTGAGCTGCACGCCCAGCCCTGGCTTACACTTCTCCAAGTCCCCTAGAGGTTAGGGAGGCTGTCTCTCCCTCTCTGTCTCTGTGAAGTTGCACATTTATCTTTTGACTTTGATGCCATGTTGTCATTGTCCTTTATTTATTCAGCCTATGGAAATTTTTGTAACTGAATTTATCACCTGAAAAATGTTCTTTGACTTGAGACTTCCGAGTGGCGACTAGAAGGGGCTTCTCCACTCCACGGTACAAAGGATTCTATCATGGTTTGTTTTTCTTTCATCACGAAGGTTACTGAATTCAGGTCCCACCAGTGCGGATGTGATGCCTCGGGACTTTCCTTCGTAGGCCTGCGAGCGTGAGGGTTAGGAGTGGATTCCCAGGGTCAAGCCACCCTTTCACGCCAGGAATGAATCCGCTTGGCCACATCGTCATCTCATTCCTCTAAGGTGTTACTGCTGGATGCCGCTTGGCTATGTGTTATTCAGAGGCTTTGCGCCTCAGTTTATCCAAGAGGCCTCTTCCTTATTCCCCGTCACATTGTCAGGGTGGTCTAGTTCCCCGGGCAGCCTCGTCCTGACAGGAGGAGACTGAGGCAAGGCGTCCGGGGCTTTGGGACGAGGGAGGTGGGGTGGTGGTGGTGGGGAGTCTGAGTCCTGCTTGAAGCGCTCCTGAGGGTCCCCTTCTAGCACCTGGGTTCTGTTCCCTGAGACAGAAGCAGCCTGAGCTGGCTGTGCCCCTCCCCTGGTCACCAGGCCATCACTGGAGCTCTGACCAGAGGCTGGAGAGTTAAACAGCAACCACCGCCCGCCCCGCCCACCCGTGCAGCAGCCTGGCTGCCCGCTCAAAGCACTGCCTGCCGG